CAACAGCTTCTGTAGTCTATCCGGTTCAGTTATCTGTCAGATTTTTAAAAGAAGTCACTTTTAGTATTTTAAGATTTCAAACTAAATAGTTGAATAAAATACATAAACAAACATTTCTTACATATTAAACATTTAAAATTGGCTTGGGTGAATAGTAAAAACGTTGCAAAAAAGAAAATACGCTTCCATATATTATATATATATAGTTTGTTTGCGTTATGTAGAAAGTGGTGTTGATTGAAAATAAGCTTATCAATATAAAATTCGCTATATTAAAATTAATTACTATAAACCCCTTGAAATATTTCATTCATATTTTCAAATCGACTTTGAATAGAATTACCAATGTAGATAACTTCCTTCCATATACATTGCTAAGTAAATAAACATGGTGATTACGGAAAATGAGTCAGCTTTGTTATATAAAAAAAAACGCGTGGAATCATTATCTTAATTATTAGCCCTTTGATTACTTTTTTGCATTTATATAAATCTCTATAGATCTTACAAACTTTTACCGCATTTTTATACGGGGTAATAAAATACTTAGTTGAGTGATTAAAGATTACGCATACGGCAGGTAGTTCCCTATAATTTATTCAGAGAACCTGTGCTATGAAGAGATTCTCAATACTTTTAATTAATCTCTATTTTTCTCTCTTTCAACAACGCGCTCATAAAATATTAAACTCATCTCGTTCGTCGAAGTTGCTGCATTCGGTGTTCGTCCTCCGTTCAGTTCAGAGGTGTGGTTGTCTGATACTTAAAGAATTTTATTAGAAATATTATAGTCATACCAATCAAAAAACAGTATTAGCCTAGGCATAATAATTTTTACGTTTTGAGAATCTGTGCAGTGTAAGCAATGTAAGCTTGGAGAGTTTCAATATTCAAAAGAAAAGGGCAGCAAAGGCATTATGTATATTAGCCCGCATAATAATATTTCAATTTTCTTATGAAATTTTGCGATTACCTTATAATCTTTCAAGAAACTAGTGACACATATAACTAATTGATGTTAATGAAAAAAATTAGGTGGTTTGATTATTTTGAAAGTTCATAGAATTATCAACTTAATTTCAATTCATATTTATTGATTTAGTTTAAAAATGCCTTGAATTTGAAGTTATAGATTAAAGAACTTTTCATTAGCTAACCGTTTAGTTCAGTGACCCCGTGTTTAATAATATTCATGTTTTCAAAGAACTCAAAAGAAACTTGTTATATAAAATAAATTATATATTCAAAAAATTATTAGTTTATTTAAATAAAGATTAACAAAGAATGTTTCGGGTTACACATATTTAGTTTATTTTAGTCCACAGATAGAGCATGAAGTGGTTTTTGTTATTTGTGATAACCCTTGGCTTGGGATTAGCGCAGCCTAATTCGACCTATAACCATTTTCGCTTGCCGACTGCGCTTCGACCACAGAAGTACGACTTGCGAGTGCTGACACGACTCGAAAATCCAGAGGAACTCCGATTCAGCGGCACTGTGAAAATCGTAATTGAAGCCCTGCAGAACACCAAAAATATAACACTTCACTCAAGGGATTTGGCGTTTAATGAGTCTCAGATTACTCTTCGCCAAATCAGCGGAGAAAAGAAGACTGATAACTGTGTGACCTCCACGGTGGTGAATCCCACTCACGACTTCTATATTCTCAACACGTGCGAAGAACTATTGGCTGGCCATGTATATGAGCTGAGATTGATATTTTCAGCCGAGTTGAACCGACAACCGGAGGGCTATTACCGAAGCTCCTACGTGGATCCAGCGGAAAATGAGACAAGGTGAGAAGATTTTACTATGGAATATTCAATCCTGTTTTGTGTGTGATCTTACAGATGGATCTCCATTACCCAATTTGAACCGGCATCGGCTCGATTGGCATTCCCCTGCTTCGATGAGCCCGGTTATAAGGCACCCTTTGTGATCGCATTGGGTTATCACAAGAACTTCACGGGACTTAGCAATATGCCCGTAAAGGAAACTAAGCCACAGTAATTATACAACAACCAATATTGGTATATTCTCGATCGTAATTTAATGTTATTTCTTGTAGTGAATATCTGGCCGATTACGTATGGACCGAGTTTCAAGAGTCATTGCCAATGTCAACTTACCTGGTGGCATATTCCGTGAATGATTTCTCTCACAAGGTATCTACTTTGACGAATGGCTCTGTTTTTAGGACTTGGGCAAGACCCAATGCCATCGATCAGTGTGATTATGCCGCAGAGTTTGGACCAAAAGTGCTTCAATATTATGAACAGTTGTTCGGCATTGAATTCCCGCTTTCAAAGATTGATCAGATAGCTGTCCCAGACTTCAACGCGGGTGCCATGGAGAATTGGGGTCTGGTAACATATAGAGAGACAGCACTCCTGTACTCCGATGCGTTTTCCTCACTAGAGGACAAACAGCACCTTTCGAATGTAGTAGCTCATGAGTTGGCTCACCAGTGGTTTGGTAATTTAGTGACCATGAAGTGGTGGACTGATCTGTGGCTCAACGAGGGATTTGCCACGTATGTAGCTAGCTTGGGGGTGGAAAGCATCCATCCAGAGTGGCGTTCCAAGCAGCTGGAGTCGTTGTCCAACCTGCTAACAATTTTCCGAAAGGACTCCTTAGAGAGCAGTCATCCCATTTCGAGGCCAATTGAAATGGTTTCGCAGGTCTTTGAAAGCTTCGATGTGATTTCATATGAAAAAGGATCATCTGTGCTCCGCATGATGCACTTATTCCTGGGAGATGAGGCATTCCGATCCGGTCTGAAATCGTATCTAGAAAGGTTCGCTTATAAGAACGCTGAACAGGATGATCTTTGGGAGTCACTTACTCAAGCCGCCCATAAAACTGGCGCTCTGGCAAAGAACTTTGACATTAAGACCATCATGGACTCGTGGACGCTGCAAACCGGGTAAGTTAAATTTTTTAAAGAAGAGGAAGTGCAATATAAACGGTCGATTTTTCAGCTACCCAGTGATCACTGTGACGCGCGACTATACGGATAGGATTGCAAAACTCAGTCAGGAGCGCTACCTCCTGAATACGGATATATCTAGGGTGCACCGCCGGGAATGTTGGTGGGTTCCACTTAGCTACACCACGCAGGCGGAGAAGGATTTCAACAACACGGCCCCCAAAGCATGGATGGAGTGCAGCCAGACTGGCGAGAGTCTTCCAAAGACTATTCAGGATCTGCCTGATACCGATCAATGGGTGATCTTCAATAATCAGCTGTCGTCGCCTTACAAGGTTAACTACGACGCACAAAATTGGAAGCTTCTGATCGAAACTTTGAACAGTGAGGAATTCCAGACCATCCACGTGGTCAATAGGGCCCAGCTTATAGACGATGTCCTGTATTTCGCCTGGACTGGGGAACAGGACTACGAGATAGCGCTGCGAGTGATAGATTATCTGCAAAGAGAGAGGCATCTACTTCCTTGGAAATCGGCCTTGGAACATTTAACGCTTCTGGGTCGCATTGTCCGACCAACACCCAACTTTCAATCTTTCAAGGTGACTTTAATTAAAAAGTATTTTGCTTTAATATTTTTACTGGATTTTCTTGACCTGTAGCGCTTCATTAAAAAACTGATCACCCCCATTTACGAGGACTTGAATGGAATTAACGACACATACAAACCTATCCAAGCGCAGGATGAAATCCTGCTGAGAACGACTGTGGCCACCTGGGCATGCAACTACCAGGTATCCGATTGTGTACCCCAGGCTTTGGCTTACTTCCGAAGCTGGCGATCGGAAACTAATCCTGACGAGAAAAACCCGGTGCCCATCGATGTTCGAAGCACTGTCTATTGCGCCGCAATCAAACATGGATCCGATGAGGATTGGGAGTTCCTCTATGAGCGATACCTAAAGTCCAATGTGGCGTCCGAAAAGCTGACCATTATCGATGGTCTTGCTTGCTCACGGGAGGTATGGCTGCTTCAGCGATCTCTGGAGATGATCTTTGACCCGAAGGAAGTCATTCGGAAGCATGATTCGGCGTGGGCCTTTAAGGCGGTGGCCTACAACGAGGTGGGCTTCCTGCTGGCCAAGAAGTACTTCATGGAAAACGTGAACAGTATCTACCAGTTGTAAGTAATGGCCACACAGATAAGAAATGGTTGTTTTGACATTTTTTTCCCCGTTTTATTTTAGCTATTATCCCTTATCCAAGACCATGTCTCGACTTTTGCCGCCGCTCTACGACCAGGTCTCCACCCGAGGGGAATACAATGAGTTTAAGGAGTTCGTTGCCAATTCGCAGGAGTCGCTGAAGGGCATGGATCAGGCAATCCAACAGACCTTGGAGATTATGCTCACTAATGTGCAGTGGAGGGAGCGGAACTATCATAAATTCACACGAGCCATTAATCAGCTCCTGTAGTGATCGCTTTTTAAATATTTGAGGTCCTGTATTGTTTCTTTGAGGGCAAAAAAAATCCAACATTATGTAATCTTCACTGAATACGGGAGAAGCTGCAAACTATTTCTGGTAATAAATTGAGCTCTGTACGCCCATTTTTATAATTATAACGCAGAATCCTCTTGACATATCCTGGAGAACAACATTACCCTGCTATATTAGTCAGCCAGTTTAGAATTAGACTTATGTGAATATATGTATGTTGTATATTTCGTATATTTAGATAAGCATGTTCTATAATGCTAATCAATAATAAACATAAATATAATTTGAATCAAACGGTTCTCGCTTCGACAGAGCCGTTTTGTAAACAAATTTATGTGTCGCATTGAACAGCTGAATCGGTTCTCAATGCTGCTCAGTGTTAATGTTATTTTTAATTGTTAAATGTAAACTTTACATATTACAATGTACACAAATCTTTGCTCTGTAAATGTTAATATCACTATAGCAGCGCTCTTGGAAAATAAATCAAACTGAACTAAACTAGAGTCAGTAATGCATGGAGAAACTAAGGCTAATCCACTAAAAATATTGCATAAGTAGTGTGCTATTACAATTATTACAGATAATTTAATTTTATTACAATTATTTATCAATATTACATTACGATCGTGTGTGTTTGTGAATAAATGAAGTTCTGTCGTAGCTTGTCATATGAAAACGTTATTATAAACTATGCAATCAATTTCATAACAATTGTCAGTTGTTCGCTTGAAATGTGTTTGTCCGCCACTTTCGTCCAATCAATTATATTTCACTTTTGAGATGTGTCAAGAGTTTAACAACTATTCAACACTTCGTATATATTTGTGTGTTTGCGTGGGTATAGCTCATTGTTTACAATAAACCATTCCAGTTAATATATGTATATCTGATGCTGTAATTATTACAGATTTCATCGCCCGCAAGACACAAAAATCAACCGCTACTGCCATTGCAACTGGGATTTTATGTCCTATGAGAATATTTGTGATTATTCATTACTATTAATAATAATAACTATCATTACAACACTCGCTTGCTCTGCCATGCACTATTTTGAATCAAAGATTTGTTAATTTTATTGCTTTCGCTTTAAATTTATGTACGAGTATATCGAAAACGTTATGTTGATAGTGTCAGTTACATTCAATGGAGCAAACAATCTCAACGTTTTAAATTCGTGTTTTTAATGTGACGCTTCTGGTAAGTTTTTTTAATAACGATAAGGATACAATTATTGAATGCCAAAATCAAATGCATCGATTGAACAGGCTGAACTGATTGCTACTAATAAAAACAAATAATATACGATCTTTGAATATGTGGAAAAATGAGCCTATCGGAGTTGGCCCTTATTTAATAACGATAAGAATACAAAAATTGTATGTTAAAATCATTTGCATCGATTGAACAGTCTGTTAAACAGTATTTTCTATCAATGCATTTGATGTTGGCATTCAATTATTGTACTCTTTTCATTTTTAAATACACTTACGATTACATTGTTTAACAAACAGACTTCTTATTTTGCTTATTATTCTAGGCTAGAGACAATCCAATCAGTATGCCGATTAAAGGCGAGGAAATTGAAGATTAATAGGCAAAAAGTTAATTTTCGACTATTAATTTCACTTTCCTCGTTTGCCAGTCGATCTCTGTGACTTGGGACAACCTCAAATCTTGTGCGAACCGCTGGGCACATTATCGTTGGACCAGGAGCTCTGTGCCGAAGATTGTGGCGGAGGCGTTGGGGATGTTCCCGGCTTCGGCGGCGTGGCCTTCTGCGGCTGAAGATCGAAACGTGCGTAGAAGAGTAGGTAGGGCGTTATTGTGATCTTTCGAGTGGGAGATAGCAGTTCCTCGAACTCCCGCTGGGTCATGGCCTTGATCTTGTCGTCGTCGCACATGTACCAAATGGGATCTGTGCCTCCGTGGGCGTAGTTTGCTCGGACACCACCGCGTCCCGTGCTTCCGTAACCCGTGGGATAGGTGGTGGCCGATCCTCCGAAACTGAGATTGCTGTTGCTGCCGTTTTGCAGGGACTCTTCGCTAAAATCACTGCAACTGGCTGAGTTGCTGCTGCTCGTCTGCTGGCTGCAGCAGAGCCTCATGGCACAACAGTTCACCCCTTGACAGGTGGTGTTCATGCTCAGCTTACCGATCCCATTGGTGATGTTCTTGCTGCTGGTCCCGTTCACCTGCTTAACGTTCTTGCTCATATCCCCACTGCTGGAGGCCTTGCTGCGTCCGAACTTCATCTTCTTCATTAAAATGTTTCCCGAGGATGCCAGCGCCGAGGCAGCTGCAATGACGGGAGTACTGGCCACGGAGCTGCTTCCATTGTTTGGAGCCGCATTCTCATTGGAGGCCGCCGCTTGCGAAGCCATTGTTTGCGAACCAGTCATGGTGTTCCTTTTATCCTTCGGACAATTCACGTAGTCACTGGCCAGATCCAAAAAGCACGTGTAGGCAATGTAGTGGCCCACCGTCAGGGTGGCTCCCACATGTGTGATCACGCTGTACAGCTTATAAACGTGCAGTTTGTTACCCTCGCTTAGCTCACAGCAGGTGGCGCAGAAACAGGGCAGAGTGAAGGTGGTGGGCACGTACGTACTCACCTTCTCCATCCCGCCGGAAAAACGGTTCAGCTGGATGACCAGCAGCCGAGGCAACACCTCGTACGAGATGGAGCGAATTGCCTCTGTGTAGCCGGTGCACTGGTTGCAGCTGTACTTGTTCTCCCCGCGAAAATACTCCTTGGTGATGCACGAGTTCTGAAATTGACCATGGTTTAGATAAATCGTATGATTCTCTTATTTAAACTAACTCACCTGTATGTAGGTGCTAGGTTTGTCTTGCAGATCGGCGTTGTCATATCCTGAGATCGGCACCGGCACAGAAATATCAAGCATGCCCTGCTTTTGCCGCGTGATCGTTTCGCAGCTAAGGCATTTGGTGGTCAGCACCACAATGCCCTCAAAGTCGGAGCTGAAGAAGTTCAGGTTCAGCTCACGTATCCGCTCCTCCAGTCGCATCTTATCCTTTAACACTGTGGCGGAGTTCATCTCGTCGTCGCTGGAGTATTTTGTGGCCTGTGGCGCCGGTAAAGTCGGCAATGCCACACTCGTGGGTATAATACCACTGCCACTGACACTTCCACTTACGCTGGTGCCACTGGCGCCGCTGAGATCAACTGTGTTCAAGTAGAACAGGCTGTTGGCGGTGGCATGGGCTGTGCCCGCTCCGGATATTGCGCCCGCCGTGGGACTGTTGTCCTTCAGAGGCGACTGAATGCGCGTCGACTTGGATGACTTGACCTCGTCTTTTCTTTTTGATTTGCGAGAGAAGAACGACGTTTTGGTCGTGGTTATTTGACTAGTTGCCAGCGATCCATTGCCAGAGCTCAGATTTTGTGACGCAGCGGAATCAGTGCGATCCTGGCTCTCTCCGGTGTCGACGTCATCTGGGTTGGCTATGTATCTGTAAAGAAAGAGACAATTTTTGAACTAGTGTCAAAAGAAAATGGAATTAAAATTATGTACTCACCCATTTGCAATGACCTCGGGACACTCGCCGATGGCCTTGATCAGCGACTGGTTCGTTTCGCGGATGCAGTTCAGCACGCACATGAGGAACTCGTGGGCGTCCTGCTGCTGGTTGCCTTCAAAGGTGGCATTCACATCCTGGATTGCGTGCAGCAGTGTATCCGCGTGGTACGGCTCCGTAGAGTCTGCCATCTCATTGCCGTGCAGGTTATTATACAGTTCGTGGAGTTTCTCGGTCACCGACTGATGAGTCGATTTGCTGGAACTGCTGCCACTGCTTCCGCTACTAACTCCGCCATTCAAGCCACTGTACTGATCCGTACTGGTGGCCAGATCCTTGCTGCTCCAACTGCGCGCGTGTTCCAACTGGGCGGCACTCACATTTCTCCCCAGCGATGCTGATCTGGCCGTCTGCTGGCGTACAATAGTCTGCTGCACCACATTTAAGTCCTGAATCAAGTGATGCAGACTGTGCAGAAAGTGCGGAGCGAAACGCAGGGTGTACACCACTGAGTTCAAGTAGCAACTGTTGCCAATGTTACACAGGGTGCCCATTGAAGGGGTGTGATTCAGGGCCGCCGCACTTCCGTTCAATCCCGCTCCCGATCCCGTGGTATTGCTGCCACCGTTGGGCCCGTAATACTGATGACTCTGCAGATCCTGAGACTCGATCTCGTTGGATGCGGAGCCGGTGCCCGACCGTGCACCATTCCCTCCGTATCCGTTCGCCACCCGACGATCATCAGTGGTCGTCTGAAATCGGCGATCATACAGCGACATCGTGTTGGTCCTTTTGCGGCTGACCCGCGGCTCTGGTGCTCCCGACTTTCCGGCGGCGTTGAGTTCAGCCTGCGCTATCGCTATTGCCGCCGCCGTTTGCGGTGAATGTATTTCGATCTCTCTCAGTAGCTTGTTGCCGCGCGCCCGTTTGCGACCTCCAGCAACTCGTCGCTTCCTACCAGGGAGCTTTGACTCCTGTACCTCCTCAATGCAGTTCCAAAACTCCGCTTTAAATAATTCTGGAAGAAAGTACATATTTATTAGCTTGGAAATTTTAATATTTAATTTTAAACACGTGAGAATCGCTGAGTTTATAACGTGTAAAAAATCACTCAAATACTTAAACTTTAATCGCATGAAATATTTTAGTTTTTATATGCACTTAAAGATTATTTTTGTAACTTATGGCAGTCACAAGACAACACTACATATATTTAGGAAATGCAACTGAAGATTAAAAACTTTAATAGCTCGAATTTATCTGATTGGCAATAAAAACATGTAGTCAATTCATTGACACAACAGTAGTTGTGCTTATGGAAGTGTAAATATATTTTCAAAAGAAAAATTTTAGACAGAAATCAAAAATCGTGGCGTACAAAATACAGATTATTTTAATCAGCTTTGTGATAATCAAAAAAAGTTATCTGAACCAACGTAACCACAGATGTCTTATATAATTTAATAGCCACTCTAATCACAGTATTTGTTAACATGTGCTAGCTACAGGGCTACAGTGGAACCAGACAGACGATTCTTATTTAAATTCAATGCCAAATCCTACCTAGTGGTATGTATTCCGAAGACTCTGTGGGCGTGGGCGAAGGCGCCTGAACCGGCGCAACTGGTGGAGTGACTTCTGGTTGCTTTGGGCCAACTTCTACGGGGTCCTTGGTAGCGGATTCTCGTCGGGAACGTAGACTGGAGCAGCGCGAGGAGTCGGCGACATAAACGCGACGCTGTCGCTTCTTAACAGGCGAACTCTTTGGCGAGTCCTCAATTGGAATAACCTGCCTGGCAGCCACCTGATCGAAGACTACCAGAGGATAAAGGATGGAAGCCTGAAAGAAATCTTGCTGCTCCTCCTCTTGCTGATTTGGCTGATCCTGTATGGGCTGGCAGTGTGAACTGTGCCAATCCTGCACCTCCTGCTGCTGATTTGGTTGCTCCTGCTCTTGATTTAGCTGATCCTGTAGGAGACAAATCTTTTCCTTGGGGAATTCTGCAGATCTTTCGACTCTTCTGGTTGGTCCTGCTGATGCTGCTTATCGCTGTTGCTGGTGTTGATTTGATTGGGTGGAAGACTGGCTGGTTCCTCTTTGCGCTCATTTACGTCATATTCGTGCATCTTTCATTATCCTGCAAGGGGAAGAAAATGGCATTAGTACCAGACATGTTGCAGCAGGGGTAAAGAAACAATCGAGGTGAGCAGTTATAGGCAACTGGCCACAATCAGAAACGGGTTCCCGGCGATAAGGGGCCCCCGATTGATAGTAATCAATTACTAATCTACACATGTGGGAGCCCAAGTAGTGATTCATAGTCAGGTAAATACCGAAGTTCAAGGTGGAATATAGTATCAGTAGTATCTGTGCCATCTTCTCCAGCTAATAACTTTCAAAGCTTGCCCCCAAAAGCTTTTTAATTCAGCCTCGGTCAGCTGTTTTTTCAAATTTTTTCGATATGTGGGTGCACCTTTCGCCCGATCACATGCGGTGACATCCAATCAACCATGTACCCATATAATAATGTCATAATCCCACGCTCGTTACTGCAGTCAATCAAAAATTGAAATTGAATTGATATAGACATGAACCCGTGAACTTGGCCATAATTATGTAAAAACGCAAAGGGGGTGCTGCTGGGTGGTGGATAGCCCGAATGCAACGTAAACTATATTACTATTGATTTTGTTGGTGCTCGGATGAAGGTCACTGGGAAATACAGATGTCTGATTTTCAAAATTGGTGCCCCGAAAATCGCACTAGGTAAACAGTTATGATTGTGGCGATAATTTATGCACGGCCATGGGTTAAAGTCGGTTAATTAGTTTTCTGATTCTAGGGTGTCTGGAACCGCTGAAAAAAAACACTCACATATCGGAGGAGCAACATTTGTAGGCAATGCTGCGCTTTACAATGCTGCCACGGATCGGGGGAAAAGTTATAGAACGCCGTTTTAGCCGACGATCAAACACAAAAATTGTAAAGAAATTTTGTTTGCAACGTAAGACACGCAAACACATACGCACGCACACCTTCATACGCACACATACACACGCTACTCGCTAACAGCACTTTTCACTTTTTTCCACGCACAGCTACCCGGTTTTCAGCCATTTATATGTTTTTATATTGTAGCCAATATTGTCGACCAATTGGCACCTGCTCCGGGTCTAATTAGTCCCGATTTTAGGTGGTTTTTTCATTTATCAAGTCGAGTGAAATTATGTTGGAGCGGACGACTAGGGATGTAAGAGAAATAATCGATGGCTGATGTGCTAGTGATGGTTCCGATATCGATAGTTGTGAACGCGCGTCAATCGAATAATCTCGATGAATTTAATCGAGTACATGTTTAAATAAACTTGTTGCGAAAAATAACCGCCCAAACAAAGTCTGTCTTTAATAACTTCAAAACTGTTTTCTTAAATTGCTCAATATCGCGATAAGTATATTTAATATTGGTAGTACTCTAGTACCTTATCCATTTCGTTTCGTGGCAAAAATAAAAACTAGGAAATTATAGACAAGGCTTTCTTGTCGTTCAATAAAATACAATTATGAACGCATGTCGATAGCTAATGTTTAAAATCCGAAATGTAATTCAAAATAACGTAGAGGAAAAAACTTTTTTTGACAATGATTATTTTAAAAAATGTAATTCTGTTAGTGTAGAAGAAGAAGAAGATACAAAGATAAGATATTTAAATATTATGCCCTTCTATCAAGAGCAGAAAAGTGATAATTAGCAGTGCGCACTCATAAATATTAATGAGCAATCGCACGGGCCTACGATTTGAGTACCTAAATTCACTCACAATGGCAGTATTAATTAAACGCTAAATGTTCCCCAACTGCTTAAAAGTGCAATTGACTTGTTTGCTTTGGCTTTTCCTTTTGCGCGCACTAAGCCACTAAGCCACCAAGCCACCGAACCACTGGACCACCAAAAACCACCGACTGGGGCCAACGTAACAAGAAGGCGGGCACTATAAATTACCGATGTGGATGTGCAATTGCCAGTCGGCAATAGTAGTAAGCTGGCTCAGTTACCATATAATGACCATATAATCTCCATGCACACGAGTGGATATATTTTATCTACATTGTCAGTTTTGTTTTGCACACACAATTTTGCAGCTGGGAAAGCATTCAAGTCACGCAGTCCAAATTGTTACAATTAAAGCTAACTAAGTGTTGACCATGAACTGCTTACGACTGCAACGGATTCGACGGCTTCTAGGGCTCGACCTTCGCCTTAACTCTCTGGCTCAAATGTGGGTAAATGACCACGCATCAAGTGGCTTCAAATTTGTGCCACCAATTGACCACCCACCAGCCCCTTACCACCTACATATACTGTTTTATTTTTGGGGATAGACCACTCGGAAAAAATATTACTAAAATTACTAATATTGGCAAATTATTTCTTGTTTATATTATTGTGTTTACTTGCTCAATGTCATTCAACGAACATCTTAAATTTGCCTAACTTTTAATTAGATAGCCTTTTATAATTTATAACTCTTGAGGAATTATATTGTTCTTTTACATTTTTCGCAGTAATTTTAAAATAATTCAAAGTAGTTTTCTTGTTTTGAGTAAAAAACAAGACAGAACGCTATAGTCGAGTTCCTCGACTATTAGATACCCGTTACTCAGCTAAACAACTTAATATAAATATGCCTTCTTGTATGTTTTTCGCCGCTCGAATTAGCACCTTGGCCAGCTGTTCCAAAGTCATCCGTTAGATGGCGCTACGGGCCATGAAAGGCGGAAATGTAGGCGCTAGCCAGGCTTAAGCGTTTAATGGGTTTTTGGGCGTTAGAGTGGGCGTGGCAAACTTTTATTAGGCCAATCGATATTTATTGACGAAACAAATAAATATCAATTAAAATTTTCATAATAGCATCAAAACTGTGGCCACAGCTTGTAACTTGTGGGCGACAGAGGGGGCGTGGCACCATTTTGAAACAAACTTGCGCTGCGTAGGAACTCCTAAAATCTACATGCAAAATGCCAATCTTCTAGCTTTTATAGTTTCCGAGATCTCAGCGTTCATACGGACAGACAGACGGACAGACAGACGGACAGACAGACGGACAGACAGACGGACAGACAGACGGACAGACAGACGGACAGACGGACATGGCTAGATCGACTCGGCTAGTGATCCTGAACAAGAATATATATACTTTATAGGGTCGGAAACGCTTCCTTCTACCTGTTACATACTTTTGCACGAATACAATATACCCTTTTACTCTACGAGTAACGGGTATAAGTAATTATATTTTAGTAGGAAAAAATTAAAAAATAGAATAGTTAACTTCAAAATCAATAATTAAATTATAAAAAAGTTCTTCGAATGATAAACAAAAATTGTTCTCTGTGTATTTGCACCAAATCTGCCAAAATTGTCTGCCTGGTCATTGTTATTGCTGTTGTTTTCGCTGCTCTTACTGTTCGTTTTCAGCGGCTATTTTGCTATTAACACGCTTTTGAGCCATTTATACCGGTGTACTTGGCGTTGTCGGCCAAGCCAACTCCAACTACCGCATTTCCCCAGCCAAGCCAGCTTCAATTTTCGATAGCCACTCGAGGCGAGCGGTTTGGATTGGTGGTGTGCGGAGTGGTGTCCAACTAATTCAACGTCAGTTCCTGGATTCGAACATGTTGTGGATAATGGGGCTAGTAGTGTTTGCCATGCGGCTGAACTATCAGGCTAATGTTGTGGCAAATGTCACGGTGATCGACGACATAAGGAACGCCTTCAGAGGCGTCACCAACGACACGGAGCTAGTGAATCACATAATACCGGAAATGTACGGGGCGAGCATGCGCAGTGCAAATCCCTCGTTTGTCTTCAAAATGCCCAGAAAATCGATCGGCGGTGGGGATAACTTTGAGCTGCTCACAATGCAGCGATCCGATTTCGCGGAACCAATCTTTCCCAATATCAGCCAGCTGTCCACGGCCATCGATTCACCCACGACGATTCCGCCGGAAACGAGCGTGAAGACCAGTCTGGCTATCTCACCCCAACTGAAGTGGCAACAGATGGGCCTTGAGGGTTGGACTGGGGAGCTGAAGCCTCCAGTTCCCTGGCTGGAGCAGAACCACAAGTAAGTAAGAAATAAATTTTAGGTCAACATTTGACCCAAATATTTTTATACCTGCCAATATCAAAGCAATAAAATTCATCGATTAGAGTCAAGGCTTAGAATATTTCTGTTTTAATTAACTTGTTAACTTGTGCATTTGATAAAAAAAATCAATTAAGAAAAAGCTGCATCATTACTATTCAAGTACAATATTTTTTACTGCTTTGCTAAATTAAAAAATGAAACAGCTGCCATTGTTCTTCACATTACAGCATTAACCCGAAACACATGTTTGAAAATATTTTGAAGTTAATTTTTGTCGGGTTTTAAAACCATTTTTTTTAAATAAATTAATTTTACAAATTTGAGATTATTAGTTTCACATTCAGTTTAGTTAAATATTGGAAAACTTGAAAAACGATTGATTTACAATTGTAACTATATAATTCAATAATCAAAATTTAATAAGACGTTGCTAACCGTATATTTTAAATTGAATTACCTGAATATTTCTTTTGTTACTCATGTTTATTATATCATCAATAAAAAAAGCAACTTAATGTTTACGCTTTAAGTTAATTCGCAGGGACACTCCGCCGCCGATCAGTTGGCAGAACTCATATCCCCACGACGAGATTAATCTGGACTTTAAGAATCACCATTTCGATGGCCGGGTGACGGACATTCGCGTTATAACGTCCACCACTGGAAAACCGGCGGAAATGGAGGACCTGGTGAATGTTGAAAATGTGTACATTGCCAGGGTTAACGATCCCTTCGGCTACTCCATGAAGTGGAGCTTCAACAATGACAGCAACCGGGAGCGAGAGCTCCAGCCAGACGGAGATCGCGGGAAGAGGGATGTAGCTCGTCTTTACTCCATGATCAAGTGCTCCACGGGTTGTGATCCGTTAATCTACAAGGGCTACGGCTGTTATTGTGGATTCGGTGGGCACGGAGTTCCCGCCGATGGCATCGATCGGTGTTGTCGTCTTCACGACAAGTGCTACGGCCTGAGCAACTGCATCTCCTATCTGGAATACTTTGTGCCTTACGTTTGGAAATGCTATCGGGGCAAACCGCTGTGTGCCGTGGACCATGGAGAATTCGGTGGCCCCGATTCCTGTGCCGCCCGTCTCTGCCAATGCGACCTGCGACTCTCCAGGTGCTTGAAGAAATTCTACTGCCCCCAGCGACGCTCCATCTGCCACTCATCCAGATCTAGACGCTTACAGAATCTCATATTCTTCGATTGATGTTTATTGTTGATGATAGTTTGTGAGTTAGTTAAGAAGTACCAAAATAAAATGTTTTTATCTAGTAGAAAAACATCGTATTAATCGATAAAATATAATGAAAACTCCTAAATTGTGCTGCAGTGAGGGGAATCTATTCCAGTGTGAAATCTTCTTAGGGCATATTTAATCTATAAAACTGAATAGCTTGGCCCACCTTTAAGTTTATCAAGTTAAAGTAACTTAAATCTAATGATGCCTTTGGCTCTTTCGCGAACCACTCCTGGCCTTGCTTCCACTTGATTTCTCCGCCCGGGAGCTTCCAGTATTGTTCGTCGGCGTGGCTGTGATTCCTACAGCCTGCGTGTCCGGTATTTGTGAAAACTCCTTGATCGCCTGACAGTCGTGCACGAATAAACGCGCCGTCTTATGCTGATTGGTATGGGGCTTGTAGGCCACCAAAACATTGTGGGCCATTAGCAGGACATCCCTGTGCAGCTCGCTTAAACTACGAATAAATCCGGAGTCGATGTTTCGCTTAATCGTGGGAAAATCCATGGGACGTAGGCACAGATCCGCGTGCCGCTGCGCGTGCTCGTCATGAAAGGGACGCTTGAAGGGAGCTGCATGCTTACTATCCTGCAGCATGGCATAAATGGACAGAAAGAGCTTCTTTGAGGCGGCTCGCGTCTCTCGCCGATCATCCGTATGCTCGCTGGAGGCGGGTGAGTTGGGTATGCTGTCGATTACGGGTGTGGAGGAGCATCTGCGACGGGTGGATCTGGCTGTGGAGTGATCGCTAGCAGTAGTGGCGTCATCATCCACCATTGGACTTTCCGACCGATCCCTATGTGGTAGTTTACGTAACAGTGGAGTGCGAGCTGGTGCTGAGGGAGGTTGTGGTGTTCCACTCAACTCCAGATCCGATTTGGAATCATCTAGAGCCAATTTCGATGTTGGCTGCTTGGCTTTTGCACTTCTCGGTTGGTCCTCCTGTTTGCTGCTGTCGGTTAACGAAGAAGACTCCTCATCGGTATCGTGTAAGGATCCAGGAACAGGAGCAGATGCAGGTGTTGAAGGAGTGGCAACCTTTTCCTCCATTGTGGAAGGTTTCTCTATATTCTCCTTGTTGGGTTTGCTTTGAGCTTCTGCAGTGGCTTGCTTATCCATAGTTTCTGGTTCTACTGTGGTTTCTCTTGTTTTATCTTTGCTCTTCAAGTTGATTTCTTGTTCGGATTGCTCATCCTTGACTTCCTCTTTTTTGAAAGAGAATTAGTGCCCGTTTCCTCATCAACTTTTGAAGGTGGCGATCCAGCAGTGTCCTCACTGGAAGTGCTGATAATTGTGATGGTCTCACCTATCTCTTCCACCGCCACCTCGCTGGCCAAAGGTTCCGACTCCGCATCATCTGTGCCCCGAGTGGATTCACCTCCCGACTGACCACGATCTTTGCTCTCCTGTGAAGCCACAGCAGCCAAGGGTATATTATCGTTTGAGTCATCACTGGAGCCTATTACTAATTCGACGGACTTCGGTTTATCGTTGCTTGGTGAACTTTTACTTTGTTCCCGCTTCAGTGCATCCAACTTGTCCTCAAAGTCAATGCCTTCAGTTTTATTGTTCGAAGGCGAAGCCACCACATCGTCCACATCTTTAAGGATCTCATCATCAATGACACCGGCCATATCTATGTCGATGTCATCGATTATTTCGTCAATGTTTGGAAACACCTCCAGCAACTGGTCTTCGTTGGGATCGGCCTCGTCTGAATCCGCTGTCCCAGTGTTCGCTGAAGTGGTCTCATCTACTAATGTCTGCTCTTGGCCTTCTGAACCCTCCGTTTTAGATAAGCTTCCGCCATCGTTGGCTCGACCAGCCGCCTTGTTCTTCTCCAGCAACATGGAGAGTGTAGGTGCCGCCTGCGACGGACTCCGTTCCAGAGTGGGCGTACTTGGCGCGAGTGCCTCACTGGCTGGAGGTCCACTAATAGGTCGGGACATGAAAGCAGCATCTGTGGGACTCTTCATCGTGATGGCTGGCTGATTTGAAACGGTCGAACTGGAGCCACTGGTCAGCAAGGATGTAATGGTGGGTGCCGTGGCCCTGGCCACGCTGCCAGTTCCTGATACAGTTACTCCGGCTCCTGTAGTTGGTGTGGCAGGAGCATTGCCTGTAGGCGATTTCAGCAGGGATGTGAGAAGAGGAGAAGGTGCCGCCTGCTGCTTGGTGCCATTCCCACTGCTATTGATATCCTCCACGTCCATGTCCACAGAGGTGGTGTCCGTGGCTTGGTTAGATCGCCTTGCGGCCGGGCTGCTATTCCGCCAGTTGCCCGCCAAGTCCTTTTTGCGCTGCTCCCGCTCCCGCATACGGTTCTCCAGCTTCATCTCCTCGATACGCCGCGTCTCCTGATCCTTTTCGATCTCCAGCCACATGTCCTGCAGCTCCTGCTCTGTGACTGCATCCGATTGCAGGGAATCGATCTCGTGCTGAATGCGGCGGTAGGTCTCCTGATCGTGGCGCATCTGCGCCTTAATCTCAGCCTGGCGTTCCTCTGTCAGCCGGCGGAGCAGCAATTCCGTGGGTGTTTCTACGATGGCTGGCGAGGAGACTCCGGCGCTGCTCTCACTGCTGCGTTTCTTGCGCTTGGTGGCCTCCACACTCTCGAGAAGATTGCCATACTGGACGGCACAATTCTTCTGGGAGAACCAATCTGCCGGTCGGTTGTTGTTGTTGCTGTTGTGACCACCACCGTTTCCATTGCCGCAAACCGCCTTTAGCGTGCGACTCACCGTAATCCAGTTTTGGTCGCCGCTGCAGGACACAGCTGACGCCAGGATGAGCTGCTCGCGCTTCGACCAGGTGTCCAGCGGAACACGACTCAGTTGCAGGCGCTCTTGTACTCCAGCAGACATAGTAAACTGCAATTAAAATTGCAAACAATTTGATCAATGTTAAAGTGACTAGCGATGGCAGTGCCCGCTAGAGATGACACAAATGTGTTTTGGTATTTTTCTGGCCGACTTGCAGTATATAGTATTTGCTTTCAGAAATAGCTTAGTAACTTTATTCACCCGCTCAAAAATTGTGATTCATTACATGGACAGCTTAATAGGTGCTGATACAAATTGCAGTCCCAGGTTTTACTGTTCACTTGGGATATAGTCTGTGGGATTCGGGTAGTATTTTAATTTTTTTAAATATAAGTACGGCAGCTATCGAAAAACTTTCAAAACGGCTATATCGATATCTCCCAGTTATCGATTTGTTGCCACCTCCAACCGATAGCAACAACAAAAACAGGTTTTTCAGACTCGCTATTTATTACCCAGTTAAATACAAAAGGTTTTAAAATGGAGCCCATATCACAGCTAGTAAAATCCACTTTACCCAATTATCTGTCAAATCTACCAATTCCGGACAGCCTCGGTGGTTGGTTTAAGCTTTCCTGTAAGTTTATTAAGTGGCCGTAGAGCCGTAGTGGTCATGGTTGGAATTTGATTTTTCTACAAAAGGGCGCCCCCAATATGTAAACCCAAAACCCACGATAATGACACAGCAGCATCTAATGCCAAATCTTCAGAAAACTGTTTATGGCGTGATCTATTTTAAATACTATAGGTAAAAGTGCATTTTCTGCACTTCCAGCCACTCGAGTAAGAGTGAAATTGCAGCTATTATGCAACATTTGTTGGGCTCGCTAAGAATTTATAATTGGAGCAAGTTTATCTGCCAGGTGACATGGAACTAGATAAACCTATAATGCGTAGACGCTTCATTGGCCGCATATATACACACATACATACCCCATAGTGCGTTTATAACCTAATCTCTATATAGAAAACGACCTTGTGCCGGTTACGGCTGATTGGCTAAAAGATCTAGTTTAGTGCCTTAAAATACACTGCTTTAATCGCATTTTAATTTTCAGTCAAGGACTGGCTAGCCCTGATCCCACCCACCGTTGTGGTGGCGGGAATCGGTTACACCGGCTATCTGGCCTTCTGTCCGGCAGCACAGGCCAAGTGCCAGGCCAAAAACAGCGGACGATGCAACAACCAAATCCGGAAACATGAGCCCAAGGTGGTGGACATGATCGATGTGGAGGACATTGCGGAGAAGGCAGCCTTCTGTCGGTGCTGGAAGACCAAGAACGTAAGTTTATAATTCCTAATGATCAAAAGTTACAGTTCATTATCATTTGGAAGAGCATCATATTTTGTAGTGCCTTTTATCCAACAATTTTTCTTTTAATACTAAATTAAAAATTATTATGGAGCTCAATTTTAATTTGAGAGGAGAATAAACATGATTTCTATTTGTAAACATATTAAGTCTAAACATAAATTCAATGCATAACGAATACAAATAATTGTATCTGAAGCTTGTATTCAAAAGAAGCACTTCAATAAATTATTTACGCAAGATAAATAACATAATATTTAAAAGCCCAGTTATAAAAAAAAACTTAAACCAATCTTACCCTCTTTTTCAGTGGCCCTATTGCGATGGCAGCCATGGCGAGCACAACAAGTTGACCGGCGACAACGTTGGCCCAGTTGTGGTGAAGAAGTAAACTCCAGTGGTGCATCGTTATATAACAAGTCTAGCATTTCCTTGTTCAAATTCTCTACGAGCTTCTGTTTGCCTTTAAAACCAAGTTTATTGGTTAAACTTCTTCGAAATACTTCTACGCCGTCAGAACCCCTTGTAATCGTAAGCAATAATTGATGATATTGATGGATTGAGATAAAGAAGCCAATAAAATTGCCCAAAAAACATTGAAATCACTTTGCTTAAATGTTTAGATATTATTTGGCAATGAACTACATACAAATGCCTTTGTCTAGCAGTTGCTTGTTAATATAAATTAAATATACTAAATAAATAGTTACATTCTTTAAAATTCATTTAACGCAATTAAATCTTTCGATTATTCAAATTTTCTGAAAAAATAGTTAATAGTGACAAATTAAGATAACGTTATTTATTTATTTAGTACCTGGGTTGAATATTCACAAATATACTATTTTTGAAAATTCTATTGTTCAAGAATCGCCTTAAAACGTTGAGTTAAGTCAAAAAATTCGAAATCAATAACCAAACCCTCTTTAGCTTTCAAAAGCATCCAAATAAACCCGACAAATTTTATAACATGGTGTTATTAATAGAAAACCTTTTATTTTTTATAAATTATGTTCTGGCTGCAGGCGGCTGTTCCGTTGACAATATCATGGTGTATTATGCTGAGGCGGTTACAAAGAAATTCTCCAGTTACAAAATGCAGAAGGCAAAACACACAATACCAAACCTTCGAGGCAGCACGACAGATATTGAATATCTTTAGGATACTATCAGTTGGAACTTAAGAAATAGGCATCTTGCTCTTCGTGCATATCAAATCTCAAACTTTATTGTTACTTCTGCTGTTGTTGCTCTGTATATGTGCTGATGCTTTGAGCTGAGCTTTTTACTTGAAGATCTTGCCCTGGTTGAACTTGCGACCGTCCTTATCGGCACCGGTCCACGAGAAGTACTGGGTGACCAGCTTCTTGGTCTCCTCGCTCTTGGCGTCGAGCTTCTTCCAGTCGTAGACCTCGTAGTCGATCTGCCAGTCGGGCGACAGGGTGAAGGCCAGATCCTGTCCGCGCCACACCCAGATTCCAGAGATGGTGCTGTTGCCGTCCTCGCCGAACAGGCAAACAGATGCGAAGGCCGCCTTGCGCATCTTGTCCAGACGCTGGAACATGCCGGTGATGAGATTGCACGACATGAACACCTTGGACAGCTCTTCGTTGTACTTGTACTCGCCAATCCAGATCGAGTAGTTCTCGGCATCGAACTTCTCGAAGAAGTAGGGAATGGACTTGGCCTCCTCCTCGTTGGAGTACACGCGCTTGAAGTCATCAAAGTTGAAGGTGCCCTTGGGCAGAGCATCGAAGGGATCCTTAGACTTGGGCTCCAGGGCCAGGGCCTCATCGGCGGCATCCAACTCCTCGGCGGGCTCGGCAGCCTTCTTGGGTGCCGGTTCCTTCTTCTCCTTTGGCTTCTTCTCCTGCTTCTGCTGCTGGGGCTTGGCAGCGCCAGATTTGGCCTGGATCTCGGCGTACTTCTTAGGATCGAACACCAGAGCCTTTTCGCACAGCTTGTAGTCCTTGACGACAGCCTGCACCTGCTTCTGGTTGAGGATGGTGACGAACCAGCGGTTCACATTGCCGTAGGCACTGCGTACACTGGGCTCCAGGACGTACTCGTACAGATGCAGCAGGCTGCTGAAGACCACGATGTCGGCCAAGGTGATCCTCTCGCCGGCCAGGAAGGTGGCGTCCTGCAGCTTCTGGTTGAGCTGTTGCAGCACAGCCTCGGCCTCCTGCTTGGCAGTGTTGTTCTTCTGCTGCGGCAGAATGCCCAGCAGTGGGAAGACCCAGGCACACGATGCAGGCACGATCTCGTTGTCGGCAAAGGAGATCCACTGCTGAACTTGGGCCTGGACAAAGGGGCACTTTCCACCGCGCAGCTGCTCGTTGGCCAGAAAATAGGCAATGGCATTGGATTCGCTCAAGTACTGGCCTTCGGCGGTCTCGAAAGCGGGCACCTACAAGATATTAATAAAGATGACATGGCATTAGGACCGCACCTAAAAAAACTCACCTTGCCACCGGGGAACTTCTTCAGGAACTCATCCGACTTGTTGGTCTCGCCGAATGTGAAGTTATCGGCCACTTTCACCTGGGCTCCGGAGTACTGGGCCGCAATGAGCGCCTTGTACGCGCGGAAGTTCTCGGGATAAGTGTACAGAGTCTGCAAACATGTCAATCAAAATTAGTAGAAGTCGTGGCACCTAACCGGCATTTGCAAATTCGCAAATTCACATGGCCTCAAACAGCTGTTTTTTTGCAAATTTGCACACCGAATTTATTAACGTACTCCTTGCACCATGGTGGATTCGCCGTTTAAATCGTCTGCCTACAAATATAATATTAAATGTTATATATTTGCAAAATCGGTGAAAAACGCGGAGCACACGCACTCACCGGAAACGAAGAAGAGAAGGGACGGATATAGGGATGCAGCTATCATCGATATTACATCGATATATCGACATTTTGGTATTCATTCTAGTTATCGATGTCTTAATTAAGATATTTAGTTATCAAATAGATAAACACAAAAGTAAACAAACACAATTTTATATAAAATTATTTATTTTTAGCGCGCAATAGATGTGTCCTGACTGTCATAACAACGTGCTGCTAAGTGCCAGAGTTCCACCGCTAACTACACTTCAGCAACGGAAAAGATTTTTTGAAAATATAAAGCAAGAGCCGAAATTATTTTATTTTTGACATTTAATTGTTTCTGACCTTAAGTAATGGTCCCTCAATTGCTTTGCAAAAAGGTGGTTTTACTAGAAAGCTTTTTCGAAACTCGCCCACTTAACACATAACTATATGTATAGAAAACCCATTTGAAAGTAATAAGCTCCTTAAATGTTTGTCTTTTAATTATCTATTAATTTTGACTTTTATTATCGGTAGCTTATTTTAACTTATTATTTACCTATCGAACTTTAATTTTCGGACTTGTTATCGAATGATCTTTAGATATTGGTAGTGTTGTAAAGCTGCCGACTTCCACACAGCGGCCCTGTTGCGGCTAACAGCTGCGCACGATGTTAAATGACGCTCGAGATTCATTTAAATCAAAGAATCGCACATTTTAACCATTTTCATAAAATGTTGTTATTAATTTGATATCATTATTTAGATCCAAAATTAAATCCGTAGCCGTAGACTTAAAATCAACCACCCAACTAAAACATGAAATCGTTAAACGATCTATGAATTGGTGTTATTTATTTTTTATTGAAACCTAACTGAAAATTTACCCTTAACTCTATTTCCTCTCAGATAAAAACAGATATATATGCCTTTGCTCAAACCATAAAATCAAAGACAGCGCCTTCTAAACGATGTGCATTACAGATATTTTATTTAGATTTAATAAATGTGATTACTACTTTTCCCCCCAGTAACGAATCGATCCAGCCTCCGCTGCATCCTCTTTTTTCCGAACGGAAATGCCGCGCATTGGGACTGCCACTTCGACTGGGGATTGGGGCAAACATTTTTCCAGCTGCCGCCAATGAAGAGGATGATGATGATGATGTTGATGCCGTCGAGTTGTAGAGTTCAAGTTCTGCATTGCTCTAATCGCTGCATTGTCATCTTCTCCAGCTCCAGCTCCAACTCCAGCTACAGCTACAGCCCCTTTTCCCAATCACCTCTTGGCAAAGTGCAGGCTTTGCTGTTTTCTGCTTGTTCTGAACCAATGTTGCAGTTGCTGCCAATGTTGCTGCTTCATCTACTGGTAGTATTGCTGCTTGTGGGAACGAGCACACATAGCAGGAAAACTATTTTCAAATTGGAAAGGTTTTGCACTTCACCAGCGCAGCGCGTTCACCGACAACCTCTTTCTCGTTAGTTTGTTATTTTAACTATTATATCAATTAGTTGCGGCGTTTGACGACGGCTTCTTGTTGTTGCTGCCCCTGTTGCTGCTGTTCCTGATTGTTGATGTTGCTGCTGCTGCTGCTACTTCGACCGGGAGGAAGTGGAAATCCAGTGCAGGGAAAGCCAGCAGCTGCCGCCGTTGCAACTGAATGCGCTTCTTGGCTTTGCCACCGCCGGGGTTGCAAACTCGTAGCCACATTCATTTAGAAAATATGTAAATAAGGCAGCCGAGCAGCCAATGTTTTGTTAGATCGCCGTCCTCTCTTTTCCCCCGGTGCGTTGGCATTTAAATGAGCGTGAAGCAAATGCGAATGCGATCGTGTAGGAGGAGTAGCCATAGCACCGCCTCATAGTAGCAATAATAATAACAATGGCTCGCAGGGTTGAAAGGTGTTCCGGCTTCATTCCTTCGGGCTGAAATTAAAATTGGAGAGCAGAGAAATGTTGTGTTAATAGCGGCAGCAGGTGTTACAGTTACACTCAAACGCCCACGCAACAGTCGGTCGTTGTTGTCGTTGGCAATAACGTGCACAGAAAAAAATATTAAAAGTAATTATCTATTCGTTTAAACAAATTTTAGTTTAATGACTGGTTTTAAAAGGCATTCAAATTATTTTGGTTAAGAACATCTAAAAAGGCAAAATTCTAATCATATATAACTAATAAATAAATACCTCAAGGGATTCAATCAACCCATCGATTGGATGCTTAAATTCTAAAGTTGAAAGTCCGTCTTTTTGTAAAATTGTGTTTGATAAGAAAAATTTAAAAAGTTTGACAACTTATTTATAGTTGAGACTATTTTTTATAGAATACCTAAATACATATACTATTAATTAAAAGTAAATATTTAGCAAAATTTGTCTGGACTTACTTTGATCAACAAATGAGCCAAATTCTACTTAGTCTAAAAAATGTAATAAATAAAATTTGGGAACTGATTAGTTTGGCTTTTTAAAAAGTTAAAAAAGTTTTGACACTTGAACGATCAGTTCCAGCTGTGTAAATCTATGCCAATCTGGTTATGTATACAGTGACAAACTTAATTATTGGCACAGCAAGCATGTTAAACTTTGAGGCTATTTTTCTTCTTATAATATGCTGATATTAAAATAAAACAAAATATTTTTAGATAGAATCATTAATTTTTTGTTAAATACAAGTGACTTCATTAATTTATCTTTTATAAATAATTTATTAAAAATAAAAAACCAAAGAATGGACCAAATTTGCCTGAACAAAATTATTGGCACACTGGTTTTAATTAATTATTTTATTAAAACTTTATCGATTTGCCCACTTTTTTTTTTTATTATCACATTTGCCTCTATAATCTTAATGGTATAATGATTAATTTTATAGCAAAAATTGTTTTAGTGCCTTAAAAATAAAGGAAAAGTTGTTTGACTTTACAAGGTAAAAATAAAATCAACCGCATGTGTCCAAAAATTAAAATTTAATAAGCAGGATCAATGCAAATCGAAAGTAAACATTGGGGAAAGGATGCCCAGAAGCCATTTTTCCCATTCGGAGTCCTTTGCCGCATTTAAAGGACCCACGCAGTTGCAAAATGCAGGGCACACTGGCTAATCCATGGCTTTGAGAGGCCAGGAAAGCGTAAGGATCGTATAAAAGGACAATGTCAACCCCCAGATCTCCTCAACACGTATCGAAGTTGATGATAAGAAGGACTTTGGTAAGGATATTCACCCAACAGCCTTTTTTCAGGCCCTGCATGATGGTTTCTACAAATGAATTGCTCCTAGAAAAAATCCATCGGCTTGAAAAGGGTTCTAACATAAGCTCTTTGCTTGGGGAAAGGATTATTAAATCATACGAGAAGGTTGAAAGGACCCAAAAATCGATTGGCATACTCAGATATAAATTTCGCTGCACTAAAAGGTTGTTTTTGACTTTTAAAATCTATTGATTTTTTCTAGGTTCAATTCGTTTGTAGAAACCATCATGCAGGGCCTGAAAAAAGGCTGTTGGGTGAATATCCTTACCAAAGTCCTTCTTATCATCAACTTCGATACGTGTTGAGGAGATCTGGGGGTTGACATTGTCCTTTTATACGATCCTTACGCTTTCCTGGCCTCTCAAAGCCATGGATTAGCCAGTGTGCCCTGCATTTTGCAACTGCGTGGGTCCTTTAAATGCGGCAAAGGACTCCGAATGGGAAAAATGGCTTCTGGGCATCCTTTCCCCAATGTTTACTTTCGATTTGCATTGATCCTGCTTATTAAATTTTAATTTTTGGACACATGCGGTTGATTTTATTTTTACCTTGTAAAGTCAAACAACTTTTCCTTTATTTTAAGGCACTAAAACAATTTTTGCTATAAAATTAATCATTATACCATTAAGATTATAGAGGCAAATGTGATAATTAAAAAAAAAAGTGGGCAAATCGATAAAGTTTTAATAAAATAGTTAATTAAAACCCAAGTGTGCCAATAATTTTGTTCAGGCAAATTTGGTCCATTCTTTGGTTTTTTATTTTTAATAAATTATTTATAAAAGATTTGATTCTATCTAAAAATATTTTGTTTTATTTTAATATCAGCATATTATAAGAAGAAAAATAGCCTCAAAGTTTAACATGCTTGCTGTGCCAATAATTAAGTTTGTCACTGTATGGCATGTTAACTTTGAGAGGACATTATCCAAGTGAGATTTTGGTTCTTTTTTTCTCACCATGTGACAAAAGGCGGGTAAAAAGCCGTTACTTACCCGCAGGCGCCACAGCAGCGACAACAACAACAACCCTCGCTGAGTTTTTCACACGGAAATCTATTGCAGTTGCAGTTCCCTGGGTTTCTGTGCCTCTCGGGTTGGTCTCCTGGTTGTACGGGCCTTTTGAATTCGATTTTTAATCGCGTGTCACCAACCCATAAATTGGTGGGCCGTTGGCTGTCACGGGTTTCGGTTTTCCACATTCTGCGACTGTTGGCAGTCACTACACTACTCCATTCCATTTGGCAGGTGAAGGCGCACAAATCGGCAAGGCTACTGCTTTTTGAGTAAGCAATATACAGCATGCGGGACAGCAGGCCATTGACTCTTTTTTTTTTTATTTATTTTTATTTGTAACACGCCCTCATTTTGAAGTTATTTCTGCGGGGCGTGTGCCACTCTATGTGGGTCACGGGTCAATCAGGCAAATATACATTTCCCATAATTAATGCGTCTACTAATTGGGCACTCAGTCGGGGAAGGGAAGTGGGGGAAAAACTGCCACCCCGGGGAAAACTCTCTTCGTTGTGCTGACCCAACTTAATAGACGAGCATGAAATCTAGTCACGAACTTAATCATGAACCACCGTGCACTAGATCCATGTTCGCCGACAAAATAGAGTCAGAAAAGAGCATCCCTCCCCAGCTTTTTGGCTTTTTCCTTTCGCGGATGATGATTATTGCCAATGCACGACTTTCTGTGGCATTTTTGTGATTGGTGATTGGGTTTGGTTTGGGGTTTAGTTTTCCTGGTGCCGTGCCTTTGCATGCCATGTCATTGCTCTCGTGCCTGGCAACAATTGCCATCGGTTTGATCGGTTTTCATAGCTCAATTGGGTGGTCAGTCACCAGTCTCCGCCTGTTTCCCGCGAATCGCCCCCTTTTCTGATCCCCCGGGTAATATGAATGAATCAAGCTCCAAGCTTCGAATTAAGGTTTATTATTTTTTGTTCGCTTCTCCGCTGTTTGCTGGTTTTTCTGCTGATTTATACAATAATATATATATCAGCCCCCGCTCTTCTCACCCATTTATTCTCTGACGAAAAGCCGACAGAATCGTCGTCTTTGAGAATTGTTTAAGAATTGTGGCGTCGTTGCAGTTTGAATTTCTGCTGATCGGAGCAGAAGAAACGAAGAACAAAGTTGGATAAAATCCGATACATATAGTGACAGCAACCACATGATTCGGCGGAAATTATTATTTGTTTGTCAAGTCGGGGGTGTATATACATACATAGGTATTAATCTGAACTATGCGACAGGCAGTGTCTTCTTTGAATTTAGTATTTCAGCAATTTGTTCCGGTAGAAACCGGAGAATAATAAGTCAAAGGTAGTTAGGGAGGCGGAACTACAAGAATACAGAAAAACACACAGTTGCGGTGGTAATAATAGTAGTGTGAGATCTAAAAGTATGAATATAATAATTGTATTAAAAAAAAAATTAAGAAAATGGCATACCAATGGTTTTGAATATAACATTATTCAACAAAAATGTGACATTAAAAAGGGTCAGTGAATATTTCCAGAAAGAAAAGTTATAATGATAGCTTTCAAATCCAAAAGCAATTTATTAAAAAATAAAAAGTTGAAAAAACAGGGTTTTTTTTTTCCAAAAATGTTTAAGGAAATATGTAAAAAGTTTTAGTTTGAGAGTTTGGGATAACAATTACTTTAGTTTATTTTTGTTTAATATTTTCAATTTAAGCCTGTTAAGAAGAACAGTTAAAAACAATAGCTTCACTTTATTTTTATTTATTTAAGTTCTTTAAAAATAACTAATAACTAAATAATATAATTGCTGTTGGGATGGGGAACATTTTTAAAATGAATTTACATTAATCAGGTTAACAGAAATTTTATATAGTTTCTGATTCTTTGTGTTGCAAAATAGCACTGCCGAGTTTTTAATTTTCTTCAATATCATATTCAAGAACACACTATTATTCCGACCACAACTGTACATAGAGAACACTGTGACTCAGCGAGCAACAGTTGTTGAACTTTTAACCTTTGTTGTTAGGCTAACAATTTTCCCACTTCTACCCAAGTTGACTACAATTAATTTTGAATTTGGGGGGATCATTTTCTGGGCCTTTTTCTTTGCCCGAAAATGGTCTAAATTAGCATTAATTTGAAGTCACTCTTCCTCTTCCTTTCGCCCTCTCTTTTACTCTCTTTTGGGCACTCGAACAGGTGCTCTTTTCCGTCCGAATGACGATGTGTGCGTGAGAGACGTTGACTAATTACCTTTTTTATTTTAAACACCACCTGTTTGTCCCTTTTCTTTTCAGAGGAAAGGAAACGAAAACTAGCCAGAAAACACGTGCATGATGATTGAACTACCGTTATTAATGAGTGTGGATCTAGTCACAAATACTAAAAAATCAATGTGAAACACTGGACCCCCACCCACTAAAAACAGAAGTATGAATTCCATTTCCATTCTCAGATTCATTATAGTGGGATTTTTGCGTTCTCTGTTCCCTCGCCTCCTCTTTAATTTCAATTATTAAGCGATAGTGCAAAAACAATACACGACAATGTGGCCGACCCATTTAGTTCGTTTATTTCTGTGGTCTTTTTTTCTAGCGTTGATAAGCGGCGTCTCTTTATTTCTGCTTTCTCTGAGTCTTATCAGTTCTTCACATACACTTATACATAAGTGTGTGTGTACGCAACGAATCTTTCACAATTCCAATTAAAAATTCCACGATCGGCGCGGCGGTGTGGCAACTCCACCAAAGAACCGCTTATTGGCAGGCGCAAAAAATATAGGGAAAATTGAGCGTAATATATAGGTTTTTAGTGTTCGCCCGCTTATATACATACCCATACACACTAACAAATCGAAGCTTACACACGCGCACATCATCAGTAAGGAGCGGGAGAAAGAGAGCGACAAAAGAGATAGCAATAGTTGTTGTTGCTTTTTTATATTTTTCAAGTATGTCTTGCCCTCTTGTTGTTGTGTTCTTCTTCTGTCTGTTCTTTGAATTGAAGAAGTATGGCGAATTACACACAGGCACATACACATGTACATACAAAATACACACGCGGCGTCGTTTCAATTCGCAAATTTGTTTTTATCAAATCGCTTTGAAATTAAATCATGTCTAATTAGACGGCACATTTAAACTCAACTGTAAATGCTGCGTGCATCCGCTCATTTTTTATCGGAAAAGTCTCGAGTGCGTGTGTGTGGGTGAGCTCGGCTTGTAATCAACGGCAAATTGAGTTAAAAACGGCATACACACACAGAAAACACGCGTTTCTTTTAATTATTATTTGTTTATGCATTTTTCTTCTGTTCTGGCTCCGTTTTTTAAATCTCGGAAGGAGCGCGAATCGCGGGCGCCACGGCGATCTGGCAGCGCTCTGAGTGCTTTTGTATGGCGGAAAGACTGCGCAAAGACTGGAAGTAGAGTGGAGTGGTGTGGAAGCCGGGCCAGAAACAACAATTGCTCGCGAGCGACGCTCTTCGTTTTATATGGCTCACGGTGCGTTCCAGCGGCTCGTTTTGAGCAGCGAGAGAGTCAAGCCGCTCTCTCGGCACGATCGTAGGGCTGACAAGGCGCCCGTTTCTTTGTTTCTTCTATTGTTTGTTTTTTGTGTTAAAATTTTACAATTGTTAAAAATTCAATGTGGACTTTTTAGACGTGAGTTTATTATTTTAATAATTTAAAATTTATTATAATTTTGGATCTTTTTTTCGATATGTTGACAACACTCAAGGCGTGGTAATTGAACTCTGCTCACATACACACTTTTATTGCTGAGCGTGAGTTCTCTCCCCCTCTCCTGCTCTTTGTATGTGTGCAATCGTGTGTGCAAATGATACAAAGAAGAATTATATATCAAAGGCAGAGAAAAATAATGATGACGCAGAAAAAAATTATTAAAATAATTACAACGGCCGTCGACTCTTCGACAGCGGAGAGAGCCAGAGAGAGATCGCACCTTTTTGTATTTTGTCCCTCTTCTTGGGGTGGTTTCTTGAGGACTGAAAAAAGGTAGTGGAAAGGTTTTCCAGACAAACAAATGTGTATTGGGTGCACTGAAAAAATAATATTGATAGGATGATTGTTTTGGTGATTTTACATACCACTTCGAACCAGATGTCAAAATAGTTAAGAACGATAATTTGATATCAGAATGGTTATGCATGTCAAAAATGTAAATACTATGGTTTAAAAACATCGCAATTTGATATGTACTTACAAAGTTAAAATCATTCACAGGGTTGGTATTGTCAACCAGACTTTTGATAGACTAGACAGATTCTCTAAACGCCAGCCTTTTATTCAATCTTAGGTGAAAAGTGTAAAATGAACATATCATTATTTTAAAATGATATGAAAAATATAAACATGTATTTATTTATTTAATCTGCTTTTCTTTCTGTGTAGTAAATAATGTACGGCTCACAAGCATGCGGAATTTCTGTTGTTCCCTTTATTTTGGTATGTCAATGGCTTTGCCAAAAACTAAGAAGGGTTGTTGTCTGTCTTAGCTTTCCCCTCCCTTGCTTTTCCACCCTCTTTATAAAGCGCCTGTGCAGCTGTTGCTCCCTCTTCTTCTTCTCCATTTTATACGTAGTAGCGGGAAGATACTTTATTTTACCTTATTTTTTTGCTGTCTTCCGATCGTTTTCTGTTCTTCAGTCAAGGTGACACAGTTTTCTGCGTGCTCAATGAAATTGGCATAAGTTGCATTTTGCATACGCGTATTTTCATTCATTTTCCGCTTCCTGTAATTTAAATTCGGCGACGTGTCTTTAATTGTCCACTGCGTGGGCGTATATGTACATATGTATGTACATACAGATATCTCCCGGGAATATCTTTTGTGGGGGCATAAAGTGTCCCCCAGTTCCCATAAAAACCAAAAAAGGAAACCCTGCTCACTACTCCACTTAAGATAGTGCTAATTGGTTGGGCTTGAAAGCGGGCTAAAACGAGCCACGGTAATGGTCTTGGATCAGGTCATCCGCTACCGTTTGTTCGCCACCGTTCTTCCCCCAAAAACATAAACTAATCTCGGTTCATCTGACAGACTAGAACGTCTTTATGGTCGCTGCTCTTGAATATTCACTGTGCACTGGGGAAAACTAGGTTTAAGAGAAGTCGAATAAAGATTGCTGGATAATTGGTCTACTTACTAAAGATCAAAAACACATAAGAAAATTTAAAGAACTTTAAATTAAAGATAAGGTAAATGACATTTTTGCATTATTTACGATTATAAAAAAAGATTGGTTTGTCATATCGCTGTCTTTCGATAATACTCTTGCATGGTGTATTAAAAGGTAAGAAAACTCAATAGGTCATTATAATATTTCTGAGCTCCTAAACGCAATTAATACTTTTAGGTTTACTTGCGAGCTTAAAAAAGTAAACCAATACGAACCAAAAATTGCCAAAATAGTTCATAAATTTATTTAAACCACATATTTTACTGTGTAAGGAAACTCCCTCCCCCAATATTTCGCTGGCCCAATTAAACGCTCTGTTCTTCCCACAGTTGGTCTAACCCAGTTCAGAGCCCAGCCTTAGTGGAAGACCAGCTTGGATTGGAGCAACACCAGCTCTTGGGCAGATTAAAAAAAATCACACACGCCTGGGCTACTTGTCATTGCGAAAATTTCGAGGTGTGTAGGCAGGAGCAGCATTGACAGAGGTGTTTGAGGGGTTTTCGAGGGAGGTTTATGAGGTTTTCTCGAGGGGGGGGCCTTCGAGGAACTTATCGGCGAAGAGGTGCGGAGGAGGATTGGCTGCGGCTGACCCGGGCAATCTCCAGCTGGTGCTCGGACCCGTATCTCTCGTATTGTAAATGTCAGTTGTGTTTTTCAGCCATTGCCCAACTGCCACGGTCCACGGTCCACGGTCCATGGTCCCCATCCCCATTCCCATCACCATCATCCAACTCCCATACCAGCCCAAAACCAAACCAAACCATTCCAATCCCATTTCTAGGCCCCATCCACGTCCGACGTCCGAAGTCCGACGTCCACTCACATTAAATTACACTCCTTTTTGTTTGCAATATATTTAAATTGCTTGGCCGGCCTGTCTAAACAGTCCAAAAACAGAGAGAGGAGCGCTGAAAGAAATACGTAAAAATAAAAAAACATTGCCAAGAAGAAAGATCGGCCTATCCAATGGCTCAAACAAATGGCAAAGTTCAAACGAGGTTAACAGCATTTCATGCCACTTCCACTTCCATTGAAGTTGAGGCTGGATGGACTATTGAGGATGGAACAGGGAGTTGGGAGTTGGGAGCTGGGTGTTTGGGAGTCGGGAGCTTCGAGCTTGGAGGATGGAGGACAGGCCACCAAAATGGATAAAAAACTGTGCAGGCCAAAACAAAACAAACAGCAAGCCAAGAGCCATCTTAAACGACAGGCGGTGGTAACACAACCATACACCCAAAAAAAAGGGGAAATTTCAATGTAAATACTGAAATATAAAATTTTAATGAATATCATGAGTAGGAGAATATATTCGATTGACAATACTGTAGTGTATAACTAAAAATCCTTTTGGAACTTCCAACTAAACTCGATAATCAAAGCCAATTGTATTTTCTGTTTAATTATATGAAAATAATAAAAGTTAATAAATAGTTTTGTATTTTTGAGAGCCTATAATTGGATATAAGATTTGAACACAAACAGTGATGAACGAACGCTTTGAAGGATTTTCCTTTCTAATATAACCAATACATTTCTGAGCCTTTTCGAAATCAAATTTTCCTCACAACTTATAAAACTAGTACCGTTTGTTTTTAATGGTTAATAATATTTTCTCCTGTGCAGAAACGATAGCTCTAGCACACACAGATCCAACCCAACTTCAGATTCAGCTATGGCTACAGCTTCAGTTTGGCTCAGGCAACTGCAAGTCCAATAAATAGACGTGAGCGCAAATCTGAAGCCATGGCTTCATATAAAACCTTTCTAACGATCGTTTACCTCTAGCTCGCTCGCAAAATGTAACAAAGGAGTTGTGCGGAAAAAAGTTGCCCAGGAGGAGGAGGAGGTGGCCAGTCTCGATCTGGGTTTTAGACCAAGTCCAGGCCAAGCCTTTGCCAAGCGCCCACTTCCTACTTGTTGCTGCACGCTGCCCATGCCCACCAAGCCTCCACTTAGAAGCTGCACCACCGAGATTTGGTTGTCGTTTGCTGCCCCGCTTGAATCGACTACAGTGGCTATTGGCTACAAAGAACAGCTATTAAGAAAGATATATCTTTACTTTTGGCTTTGTCTCATACTGTTTGTCTCATTAAGAATTAAACACAAGATTCAAGTTTTGAAGAATTTAACTTTGCCAAAAAACTTGCATTTAAATTAACATTTTGTATCACAATAACGAGTTATATAATAGGATATCCTAACAATCTTTCATAAGTACTTTTCGTGATCATGATAAGATCTTTTGTATATAATACCTCATTTACATTTCTATTAAAAAATTATGTTTAATAGGGTTAGGACTCAAAGTACATTCTAAATATTTTATTTCAGATATTGTGGTATACAACTAAGCAGTTTTACTACCAAAAAAAAAATTTATTAAAAAAAACCTCTGCAGAGATGAGATTATTTTAAAACAGGCATTTTGAAACTCTGCTTAAGTGACACCTTCTATTTACGACGCTATTGGTTATTTGGAGCAAATACGTTATGGAGTTCCTCTTAAGGCAATATCCCCTGTATGTGGTAGCCGTTGGCTAGGAGCCTAGGAGGCTGGAAGCTGCGTGGCCTGTGCAGCGACGTGGTCGCCGGGACCTCTATGGGCCTCTACGTGGCCAACAAGCCCCTTTGCATATATGTACGCCACTGGGGCCCCAAAAAATAAACGAAGAACGGAGCAGAGACCACCGCTCACCTAACCGAAAAAGCCAAAAAACACAAACTCAGCGGAGTAACCAAGCCAAAGCAAAGGCGAGAGCAATAACCAGTTTTGTCTCCCAAAAAAGCCAAACAAATGAAGTCAAGTCGCGGCGGGGGAAAAGACAAAACCCGGCCGAAAGAAAGGGGAATGGGGCAAGAACGTAGCTCATGTTTACGAGTCACTGGCAGAAGAATTGGGAATCGGGAAGAACGGGGTCTTGGAGGGGGGGGAAGCCAGGGCAGCAGGTCGGGTCGGGCGCTCTTCAGGCCTTAACTTTAACGTTAACGGCCATCATCAGATAGAGCATGGCCAGAAAAACTGAAAACTGAAAACTGGAGAGCCCAAAGAGCAGCCAGTACAGTTCAGTTGAATTGAAGTTGTGGCAAGGCAAAGGCAAACGGGTATTGAGGGAGTCTACAGAGTTTACAGAGCCATAGAGTACTGGTACTACTAGGGGGTCTATGCTTTTTGTTTTTGGTTTTGTCTCTGTTGTAGGAGTTTTGGCTACACAGAAGTTTAGTTACATGCTCATTACATAGATA